TCTAGCTCTCTAGCTCTCTATCTCTCTATCTCTCTATCTCTCTGTCTCTCTACCTCTCTACCTCTCTATCTCTCTACCTCTCTATCTCTCTATCTCTCTATCTCTCTATATCTCTATCTCTCTATCTCTCTATCTCTCTATCTCTCTATCTCTCTATCTCTCTATCTCTCTATCTCTCTATCTCTCTATCTCTCTATCTCTCTATCTATCTATCTATCCATCCATCCATCCATCCATCCATCCATCCATCCATCTCTCTCTCTCTCTCTATCTATCTCTCCGCCTGCCTACCTGCCTGTCTGCCTACCTACCTACCTAATTTCCCTGTCTCTCTGTCAGTCTCTCCCAATCTGTGCACCTGTCAGGTGAGGGTTGCCAGATTTTATGTCAGCTGGTCCTCCGCCTCCTTCTCGTCCAGCGCCGCCTCCTCCGCCGGACTTCAACTGCAAGCGCTAGATCGCAGTGTTCCCCGCCGCCCAGGATCAGAGTGTTCCCCCCCCACGCCTCAACTGCAAGCGCTAGATCGCAGTGTTCCCTGTTGGACTCGAACAGTACTAGAACAGAGCCAGGCTAGATTTCATATTTCCCCACCTGCCAGGTGAGGGTTGTTAGATTTTATCACAGTTGTTCTCCTCCTCCTCCTCCTCGGCTAGCTATCCTCCTCCTGCTCCTCCTGCTCCTCCTGCTCCTCCTGCTCCTCCTGCTCCTCCTGCTCCTCCTCCGCCAGCATCTCCTCCACCACCTCTGCCTCCACTTCCACGTCCACTGTTGCCTTGCCAACTCTTCGCCAAGCTCTTCGCCAACGTCCGAGCTCAGTGTGCACCGCTGGACCTCAACCTGGGATCTTCCCAGCTCAGTGTGCACCGCTGCACCTCAACCTGGGACCTGCCCAGCTCAGTGTGCACCGCTGGACCTCAACCTGGGACCTTCCCAGCTCAGTGGGACCTTCCCAGCTCAGTGTGCACCGCTGGACCTCAACCTGGGACCTGCCCAGCTCAGTGTGCACCGCTGGACCTCAACCTGGGACCCCAGCTCAGTGTGCACCGCTGGACCTCAACGGCCAGATAGAATGCCAGAAGATATGCCAGATAGAATAATGCCAGATAGAATGCCAGAAGATATGCCAGATAGCCAGAAGATATGCCAGATAGAATGCCAGAAGATATGCCAGATAGAATGCCAGAAGATATGCCAGATAGAATGCCAGAAGATATGCCAGAAGATAGATGCCAGATAGAATGCCAGATAGATATGCCAGAAGATATGCCAGATATGCCAGAAGATATGCCAGATAGAATGCCAGATAGAATGCCAGATAGAATAGAATATGCCAGAAGATATGCCAGAAGATTTGCCAGATAATGCCAGAAGATATGCCAGATATGAGATAGCCAGAAGATATGCCAGAACATTTGCCAGAAGATATGTGAATGCCAGAAGATATGCCAGATAGAATGCCAGAAGATATGCCAGATAGAATGCCAGATAAAATGCCAGATATTTTGCCAGATTTGCCAGTGGTCATGGATCACACGAAGTAAAGTAATTTTTGTTCATGTTGCATTTTGAAATGGCTTTGCTGGACAAACAGATATGTGCGCCAAGTGGCACCAAGGGCTCTTCATCGTGGCAACTGTCAACTTAGGGTTGAAATTTTCATCTCAAGGCCACTCAGCGCACTGTGCGGCTTGCATCCCGGGGAAAAAGCATAAGGATATCCGTCCAAACATGCCTTTGATTCTTTGATCAAGTTTCCACAGCAAGAAAACTCCATACCGCACTTGCCACACAAGTCTCTTGAGCAGCCATGGTTGGACGGCTCAAGCTTTCTTTTCTTGCAAGAACCATGTTGGTAGGAAGACATGTTCCACAATATTCCTCTCTTCTGGTGGGCTTATGAAATCATAAGTCTTAAGTAAAATAAATGTGCCTGGGGTGCGATATATTGCCGCATCTTTCCAAGGGATTCAGAGAGTAAAATAAGTGTGGAGATGTGAAGGACGGTTTTAGCCAGAACACCTTTTGGGAGGGTGTCATGATCAGCTCTGACTAGGAGGTAAATATAGTAAGAATCAAAGGGGGGCCGAGGAAATGACCTCTAGAGACTTCGCCGGTACCTCTGCAGGACCTCTGCCAGCACCTGTACATGACCTCTCCAGTACCTCTGCGGTACCCCGTTCGTGGTGGCCTTCACCCGCTAGCTATGCGGCTTTCAAATATGGCGAAAAGTTTCAAATTTGGATTTTACATTCCACCCAGAAAAAAACGGCAGGCGCAAGAAAAAACCAACTTGGGGGGCGGCCGCTCTGGGTGACGATCCGCCACCGGTCGCAGCACATGCCTCCTGAAAACAACGCTTTGGCAAGAACCCCTATCAGCAAGCACATGAACATCAATGGAGTCATAGGTCACCAGGCACTCGTACTTGCACTCGTACTTGGTTCTGGCCCTACTCATGACGGCCATGCGGTGATGCAAGGCACACAGCTATTGCTAGCAAAAAAGCCAGGTAGGGTCAGTCTTAAGCAAAAATGTCAATGAAAAACTAGCCAAATCAAGCCGATTGGAAACAAATGAGTTGCAAGGCGAGGCAGGCAGCAGGCACTGAACAATGAGTGCGTTGGCCGACTACTTCCTCAGTGCCCACCGTCGTGAGCGGGCGCTGTGGAGCAAGAATCTATGTGTTACAACATCACCAAATGCTTTGGCACTGGGAAAGTGATGCGGCGGAAACTGTGCTCTACCAAGACATGAATGGTCCACAGTGCCTGCTCGTGACGGCGGGCGCCATGGAAGCTCATTGAAAACGAAGAGTTTTCCAGAGCCGGCGCGCAAACATTCACAAATCATGTCAGGCGAGCTGCAGCCAAAAGCAGCATTGCGCAACCTACAGGTGCTGGGGTGCAGGAAGCCAGGAGGCCTTTGAGGCAACTTGGCGACAAGAGCGACAATGATATTCCGGAAAATCCTTTACAGGCAAAGGATATCGGTGGGCATCAGCAATCGAAGATTCCCAGCACGAGACAGGCACAAAATCTCCGAATTTTGCTTCATCTTTGGTAACGTATCCTCCTGGAGCCTGGCTGCTTTCGAACTTGCAGAGCCAGCATCTGTGACAAGAAGTACATTCGATTTGATGTTGGCAGCTCGGTGCGCCAACACACATGCATGAACATGGATGACTTGGTTCTGGTGAGTTGTTCCGCATAGGGGTCAGGAATTTCATACTCCTGTGTTGGTAGCCACCGGTGATGGAAGGCTTCCTCCAAACATTCTTTCAAAGACTTTTTCTTTCTCTTGCAAGGCATATCATCTGAACGATCTGCGTCCTGCTGAGCTAGGTTTGCATCTTCGACTGTCCTTTTGCTGCTACCACGCCTCATCATCTCCATCTCGTACTTGACCGTGTCGCTGCTGTGCTTCGCCAAGCAGTGAACCATTTTCAAAGTGGCAGCCTTTGCAATAGTTTGCTGGAAGGAAAGAAAGACTTTGCGAAGCTCTGCTGGGACCATGTCTTGGCTGCAAGCCACGAGCAAAGATCGCTGGCCGGATGCTGGCAAGCCTAGAGTTTCAAAGCTGTAAGGCGAGAACTCAACGCAGTCGTAGCTTGACTTCATGTTGGTGAGAACGACTTCCTCACAGCGCTTTGTATGCGAACTTTTGTTTGCGGGCAGAAATCAGCTTTGGATCTTGGTCCTGAACCGGCCCATGCTCAGAGAGGCTTGGGACGTGTGATTGATGGAATCGGTCAAGGTGTTGTAGGTTGTGGGTTTACAGGATACAGGTTTGAATCTTGCTTGTTTGGAGTCTGGAACTTGCCCGTTGGGCACCCAAGGATTAAAAATAATATTTTAGAAGAAGGCTTGCCAGTGGCCAAGAGTATCAAGAGTAAGCCCAGGGTCAGCGTGTTCCCCGCCGGACCTCAACTGCAAGCGCTAGATCGCAGTGTTCCCCGCCGGGCCTCAACCACAAAGAATCTCTGAAGATATGCCAGATAGAATGCCAGAAAGAATGCCAGAAAGAATGTCAGAAGATATGCCAGATAGAAGGTCAAAGTATATGCCAGAAAGAATGTCAGATAGAATGTCAGAATAGATATGCTATCAATATAAACACACCTCCACATGATATGTCAGAATAGTGTTTTAGGGTGGGGATCACTCGAAGAAAGTACTTCTGTCTTTTTTTCTCTCTCTCTCTCTATTTTTTTCTATCTCTCTATCTCTCTATCTATCTATCTATCTATTTATCTATCTATCTGTCTATCTATCCATCTATCTATCTGTCTATCTGTCTGTCTATCTATCTATCCATCCATCCATCTATCTATCTACCTATCTATCCATCCATCCATCCATCTCCATCTTTCTCTATCTTTCTCTGTCTATGACTCTCTATGACTATCTATGACTATCTATGACTATTTATGACTATGTATGTATCTATGTATCTATCTATCTGTCTATCTATCTATCTATCCATCTCCATCTCCATCTCTATCTCCATCTCCATCTCCATCTCCATCTTTCTCTATCTTTCTCTATCTATGACTATCTATGACAATCTATGACAATCTATGACTATCTATGTATCTATCTATCTATCTATCTACCTATCTATATATCCAACTTTCTATCTGTCTTTCTACCCATTTATCTGTCTATCTATCTCTCTATCCATTTGTCGGTCTATCTAATCAACCAATCAACCAATCAACCAATCAACCAATCAACCAATCAACCAATCAACCAATCAACCAATCAACCAATGAATCTATCTATCTATGAATCTATCTATCTATCTACCTATCTATC